GTTCATAGTTTGCATAAGCCAAGTGCAGGATATGACTGGTTGTGATCATGAAATGTATGCGATTCATGATGTCAATTTATGAAAAATGCAGAGGACAGCAAGCCACAAATACATCTCCAAATGAAAAGCAACAGCTGCATATTAATTTCCGGCTAAATCAATAACATAACATTGTTGACTTACTTGCAAGGGGGGAAAGGGGGGTTGGGCACGTCGCAATCCTTAACATCATCAGCATTGAGGCAGGTTTCAGGACATCCGGCCAAGAGCCATCGCCACGGATAGCTGCTTCAATTCGGTAGGTCCCATTGGCGGACGGACAGCCGAGGTAGTCCCGTATCATTTGGGTCCAGCTTGCAGCCATAGCTTGGACGTACGGCTGAAGCTTTTCACCATCCGCATCAGAGGCGAAAGTGAGGCACACAGCCTTGTCACTTGACAAGGCTGCCGTCACAATACGGTTCTAGTGATAGCACCCTTGCACCATATCTATCCACTTGTTTGTTAACTCGTCCAACATGAAATTTGCCCAGGTACGAAACTGATTGACAGGAATAACGTCATTAATTGTAGCTTAGATGCGGCAGGAGCAAAGCGAGTATAGCCTCTAAGCTAGGTTATGTACGGCAGCCGTATGGCTTGCTGAGAATTCGAATTTACTATTTCAGCTGACAGCTCCATAGTTCCGGCATTCTGCCTACACTATTGGAGCTTATTATTATTGTTGCTCTCACTTTTTTCCAAGACCTTACCGACTACCCTCAAGCCTCATCGACGCTCTACCACAACGAATCGACATCGCCGCGGACCTGTCACTCTCCGAGGAACAACCAGGAGCTCCGTCACAAATCAAAAAATGACGGGTAAGAGGACAAAGGCAACGGGAGATAACCTGGTCAACGCAGGAGTGGCCGAAGCAGCCGGCGAAGGGGGATCGGGGCCAGATGCTGCCAGCCAACCAAAACGACATAGAAGCCGCCAGGGATACTTTGAGCGGGAACATAGACCAGCCGACTCTTCACCAGCTGCTGCTGGGCGTCCTGTCAGCAGCGCAGGCCAACGCCCCAAAAGCGCCAGCCAGGGATCCCCGGACAGCACCGCCTCGGGATCGCTCTCCTGACGTTGTCATCACAAAAGACGTGACCATCATGCCATCTGCAAGAGAGCAGCTAGCAGCAATAAGGACGGAAGTTCAAGCGAATGACGCACCGAAGCTGACAGCCCCACACGAGCAGCGGGAGCAGCTCGACGAAGGAACGCTAATGCTGCTAGAGACCGCCATCACCGCGCTGGATGCGAACGAACCCCAGCTGGCCGTCGCGGGAGAATGCCTCAAGATCGCTCACCTCCGCCTTAAGTGCTACTCCGTTGCTCTGGCCAAGGCGGGCCCAGGAGCCAACGGTAATTTCACGGCCCCCTACGAAATCTGGCACGGCAGGCGGCGCAACTTCACCAAGCCCGAGTTCAAACCAGAGGCCATAGATAAGGGCGACATAGAGAGTGCATTAGCTAAAACGCGCAAGTCGGTGGCGGCGGACAGGGACGGTCAGGCCGGGTCCCTCTGGCGAGGGAGAGACCGGCAGGGTGGAGTGCGGGATTCGTTTGGTAGTGCACGCCGGAACGACCGCAGCCGCTATGACCGCTATGACCGGCGCAGCCAGCATGACCGAAGCCGCTCTCGCAGCCCGGCTAAGCGTGGCTGATTAGGATTCTGTTGGGCTTTGTGTTTGCTTGACTCTGGCACTGCACCGATCCTACCCCCCTCCTTTTTTCTTAAGCTCGCTCAGTGGCCCCTCCGTGCAGTTCGCGGTCGTTGTTGTTGCAGGGGCCCACAAGTCCGACAAACATTATTGGGTTGGAACGGAGTATGCTTTGGCCCAGTCTTTGACAAGACTTGTTATGCTAAGTTGCACATCCGGTCTCTTCCAGACCTTCCACCGCTAGAAGATGTCGGACCAAGTTGTACCCTGGAGGGAGGTTTCTTTGTAACGCGCGCGAGCTCTTGCCCTTGGTGGCGCCTGTGATTGGCCTTGGGGCCTTATTGCCGTGTTGGCTCGGTCCTGTTGACCATGGCGGCTTCCAGGCCCAGGTGGCCGGCTTCAGGCTGGACCTGTCCTTCCTCCGTCCGAGTTTCCCTCTTCATGCATGTACCCAACAACGACAGAGAGGCATCAAACAGGTTGATGGCTCTGGTGGCCCCGTCCCCTGCGGTGCAGGTCGCCCCTGAGTATCCTGTTCGGTTTTTTCTGTCATCCCAGGAGGGGCGGCTTCCCACCGTTTCGTAGCCTCAGTCGCCATGAGCCCCGGCCTCTACTCATCTCCCCCTCTTTTATCTTTGGCTCCTGAAAAGCGAAAAATTGGCCGCCACAAAACTGGGCGCCCTGTTCGCCGCCCCGGGGTTTTAAAACCCCTCGCCCCGCGCAGCCCCCCCCTGCCCAACGAGACAACACACAAGTGGAGACCAAGAACACCGCCAAGCGTCCCGCACCCGGCCCTGCAGAGCCCACCCGGCCCCGGACCAAGGTCGCCCGCCAAGCCCAGGAACCACATCCAGACCCAGGAGCCCCTTCGAGGAATGAACAAGCGGTCCCAGAAGGTGAGAACCCAGCACCTTTGCCTGTTGATCCGCCTTGTGAAGCCACACCTCCTAGCATGGGTAGCAAGGATAGGCCTAAGATGCGGGGGCGTTTGAGAGCCTGTGCCGCGGTCTGGAAGGCGACAGTGGTGAACCAGCTCGTGCTGAGCTGGGTCCTGCAAGGGTTCCCTCTGATGTGGCACTCAGGACCTCCCCCCCGGCCGTACTGGGGCAAGAATCACCAATCTGCACGGGACCACGGGGATTTTGTGTCTTCTGCCATCGAGGGTTTGCTGGAGTCAGAGACCATCAAACCTTGCCAGTCCCGCCCTTTCATGACCTGTCCTTTGGGCGTCGTAGAGCAGAAAGGCAAGCTCCGCCTCATCTGGGATGGACGCGAAGTCAATAAGCACCTGCACATCCCGGAGTTCCGTTATGAGTCGCTTGCGCAGGTCCCAGGCTGGCTAGGCCCCAAGGACTACATGTTCACCCTGGACCTGAAGTCTGGCTACCACCATATGGACGTACGCGAAGCAGACTGGCGCTACCTTGGTTTTGAATGGCAAGGCCAGTTCTACGTCTTTACACAACTCCCTTTCGGCCTTGCCTCCACCTGTTGGGCATTCACCAAGCTAACACGCGAGATCATGCGGACTTGGAGACGGAAGGGCTGGCGGTGCTCAGGATGCATTGATGATCAGATCCACGCCCACCAGGACGCCCAGACCCTCATCGCCCGCCGCACCATAATCCTCGACCTCCTTGAGCGCCTGGGGTTCTGCGTGAACCGTGACAAGTCAATGATGGGCGAGCCCCAGCAGCAAGTGAGGTACCTGGGTATGCTGTTAGATACAGCTAAGGGCGTGTACATTGTGCCTGAAGATAAGCGCACTTTCCTGCTCGACTGCATCCGCTCGGCTCTGGGAAAACGGCGCATCAAGGCGAGACAATTGGCCTCCATAAAAGGGCAGCTTCTGTCCATGTCCTGGGCGTTCGGGCAAGTAGCCCGCCTTTACACCCGGGCTCTGGGGCAGGATATTGAGTCGCGCCACACCTGGGATACCCACATCCGCTTATCTAACGACACAACTGCAGAGCTCGAATTCTGGCTGCGCTGTTTCGACCGGTTTAACGGAACCCGTGCCCTCTGGGAGCCAGTACCGAAACCCGGCTGCGAGATGGGCAGGAGGCTGGGGCCTGCAAAACGCGACCGACCTCCCCCCGTTGCCTTCTCGCCTCGACCCGCTTGCTAGCTGCTAGTAACAACTGTCGCTCTTCCGTTGTGTCACAGCAGTCCGGGAGGTCTAAGAACTAAAAGCCACTAGCATTGCCTTACGCAGGCGCTTGTTAAGGTCCACGCACAGCTTCTCACCCTCCACAAGAGCATCGTTCGTGGCCTTTTCTAGCTCCTCCAGCTGTTCGGGTAGGGTGTCGTCTCATCATGCATTGTGCTCATTCCCAAGTTGGCGGTTTACTTTCTGGAAGGCATGGTAGACCTGTTTAAGCTCCTGATTCTCGCGCTTTAGGGCCTTCTGCTTCTTGCCGACTTTGTTGATCCAGCCGTCGCCCACAAAGTCCAGGTCCTTTAATGGGCGTTCGGCAATGCGGCCGTGGCCAGGATCTTAGCGGTAGTTCGATTGCTGATTCCACATTTGCAAGGGCTGCTTCAGCGGCCGCCAGCTGCTGTCGCGTCGACAAATAAATATCATACGCTTAACTAACGGCCCTTGTAAACGTTTTCTTGTCCGTTCATGCAAGCGGGTTGTTGGTGAGCATGGTCAACGCTTGTTTGACCGTCTCCGATTCCTCTAAAGCGGACAGACAGTTGCGCAGTTAGCGCATCTATATCCGTTTGCAGGCATGCGAGCCGGTCACCTAAATTTCGTTTTGTTTGCGGTCATCATGCAGACATCGCCCAACATGGCGATTGCAACAAGTTCTACTGCGAACAGGAAAGCCATGGTTACGGAGCGACTCTGTCGCTGAACGCTGTAGATTAGGGCAGAAGCCGCAGCGGAAACCTGTCAGTATTCTGACACTGAGAACTCGCGAGATTACTCTTAACGTCGCACTCCTGCGACTTACTCTAGCCCTGTACGGCACAGCCGTACGTACGAACGACATTCAACCGAGTACACTCTCGGCAAATACACAAAAAACCTTGGTTTTCTTTCGTTTCACTCAGAAAACCTATAGTTAATGCAGGCGATGAACCGTTGGTTTGTCCAGTAGTGCAGCCCGAGGTAGCGTGCAGTTTCATGTGGCAGTATACTGTACATGTACGTACATGCAACATCTCCCCACCCAGTGCAAGTTGCTTAAGATGTGTTGCTACGTAATTCGACCACCATTGAGAACGTTTGCAGGCTTTGTGGTAAAATTGTTTCATAGATATTTGAGTAAATCTGGGGGATATGTATTAATTGGGAGTTGTGTTAAGAAGTTACAGGCTTGTGCGAATGTGCTAGGGGAAATGATGGGCCCCGGGGTTGCAGTAGCCAGTAGTGTCGTCGAGAGTGTATTCAGCAGCATGGATATGAACCACACATTCTCGCCGACACAATACACAGCAATAAAGCGCAAATAGAGCACAAGTGCGCTGCTGTGACTGGCCAATCATTAATGCGTAAGGCAGGCAGCACTCAAACATCACGACATTATCGATAAAAACTCACTGCGCTGTACTCCGAGAAAATATTAATAGTTTCTCCACACTACACATTCCTGATCAGCTAAAGCAATCGTGAATTAAGTTAAAACAATACAATGAGTGTGACGATGAAGGCCTAGGGCTACGTGCAATGCCGCATACTCACGAGGTGTCTGATCATAAAAGTAGCTCCTACACAACTATCCAGGCACATGTGCATGCACAAGTGGACCTTCGAGTAACGGGTGCACAACGCAGCAATCATGAAGCGACAGCACAATAATGAACCATTCTAATTTTGCCGCAAGCCGTGCATGCGTGCTCCAGCATGCACGGAATCAGCAAGATGATACGCACGTCAAGCTGCTGTATCAACCGCTGGGTGCATGCATGCGCCAACAGCAGCAGTAGCCCTGATGCAAAGAATACCCACGCACATGCAGGGCGCCTTCATGGACATGTCTTGTTGTATCCTGGCACACCGAAAAGCACGGTCCTGCTGACCATAAATACATATTCTTTACCGAACCAAGAACCGATTGAAGCAGTCCCTAAACTCTTGCCCCCATGAACAATCGAGGCATTCCGTTAGTAAACGTTTTCATCACCGATAGGCAACACCCTCGTATAATAGGTAGGGACCGTCGTCTGAAGATGATCAATCATTTTACTAACGTATCTGCACAAAGAACGTTGGAAACTAGAAAAAAGACGCTTAGATGCACGAACTGCCGTTAACCTTTTGGGACAAAACAAATCCACTAGCGTGTCTGCGGTTAACATCGCAGGACTGCGAGACTGCTGCGTAAGATGTTAACAACAGCACAGGCTCAGGTCTCAGATCGAAGCCGCCGAAACTACAGGGCAGCACTTGTTATCCGGACTGAAAAGGCTCATCCTGCAATTAGTGCGGGGATGCAAGAAGCAGCAGAAACAGCGCAGAGGCGGAATGAGAAACGTACAAAAGACAGTCATGAAAAGGAATGCCTCTCACGCATGTTTAGGCAGGCAAAGTTATAAAGCGCATCGATTTTCCTTCTGGCTTGCTCACCCATGGCTGCCACCTGGCACTCAGGGCGAGAATGCGCTTTGGCAATCTGTACTGCTGATAAAATATCAAAAACGAAAAAGACAATGGCTTCCAAAGAAAGCGACTCACCAGCAAACCTTGCGGCTGCTGTTCGTGAGGCAGAAGCTGCTCAAGTCAACGTTCTGATTAAACTCGAGGCAGACCTTGCCACCATCTGCCTGAGCCTTGGACCATCTCAGCGGGGTGACCTTGAACGTCTGCTCGCCCACTGCAGCCCAGCTAGGGGCAATGTAGCGAAATGTGTCGGCGTCGGAGGGGCGGACATAGACGCCTAGAACGCTGCGGCGCATTGTTTCATTCGCCCAGAACTCAATCTTCGCCAACGTGTCCGAGCTGCCGCAACGGCTCTGCATCATGTACATGTAAGGGTGGTGTCGGACTGTCAGAAGACACAAGAGCACTTGTTTGCCGCATGTACATAAACACCAGCAGGACACGTCAAGTAATTCAGCCAAGAGAAACAGGTCATAAACGTTACCGACTATACCACATTTGCACCACAAGGAAATCGACTCACGTTCGGATCATTTGGCTGCACAACAGCGGTACGGAAACAGTACTGCACCCTGTCCTTCTTAGTTCCTGGGACAGTCTCCGTGTACGGCAGAAGTGCGAAAGGAGTAGCGCCGACTGTGGTTGTGCAGCTGCGGTATTGATAACAGTGAAAGTGGAGAGGCGGATGGGACAGTCAAATAGGTCCAAAAGGGGGGAAGGTCCAACACATTTGCAGGTTGGCCTAGTCCGTTGGCACACACAGCTCAAATGCCCTCTGCTCGGTTTGCCTTTACGACGCTTCGCAAACCGGGTACAGAACTGATACGACAGAGGCACACAGACAGACAGACAGACAGACAGACATACGAGTACATTTACGCACTTGTCTTACTTGCAAGGAGGGAACCTGATGGGAAGTGGTTTGCAATTCCTCGAGGCTTCAGCATTCAGGCATTTGCTCGCTGGAGCATCTGGCCATGTGCCGTCACCGCGGATCGATACCACGACATTGAAGGGGCTGAACTCTGAGGGGCAGCCGATACTATCCAGGAGGAATCCGGCCCAAGTATCAGCCATAGTCAGGGCGTACGGCTCAAGCTTTTCAGCATCCGCATTGGAGGCGAAGGTGAGGCACACCTTGACAAGGCTGCCCTCGCAATACGGTTCCGGGTTAAGTGGCGACAGCAACCTGGCACCCACACCTTCCGCTTGGTGCAATAAATTCGTCGACAACCTTATTGGCTAAGGCACGACACTGATCGACAGGAATGTTAAGGCTGAAAACTGAATTCAGAGGTTGAATGTAGAGATAGGTGCAGACCACGCAGGGCGGCACAGGCGAAGGGGAGGGTGTAGGAGGCAAAGGCGACGGTGGGGTGGGCGGAGATGGAGGCAAGGGAGAGGGTGGGGTGGGCGGGGACGGAGGCTTGGGCGATGGCGGCGCGGGCGGGGATGGCGGCTTGGGCGAGGGTGGAGTGGGCGGAGACGGGGGCGAGGGATAAGGTGGAGTGGGCGGGGACGGAGGCTTGGGCGATGGTGGGGTGGGCGGAGACGGAGGCTTGGGCGAGGGTGGGGTCGGCGGAGACGGAGGCTTGGGCGAGGGTGGGGTCGGCGGAGACGGAGGCTTGGGCGAGGGCGGAGTGGGCGGGGATGGCGGCAAGGGCGAGGGTGGAGTGGGCGGTAGCCGTGGAGGGGCCTTGCAGCATTGGATGCTCTTGTCGAAGAGGGCGGTCTGACAGACGCCGGGAGCACCGTTCGGCGGGGGCAAGCAGAATTCATTCAAAATAGTGCAACCTTTACGTCCCTTGCTGCTCTTCAAGAAAAGGCAAATCTCAGCTCCATTGCTGCTAGTATTCAGGCCCAGATTGTTAATGAACAGAACTTGAGTACCGGGGGGAGCCGGAGGACTGGCGGGGAAGTGGAAATCTGGCTTCTGAAGGGAGAAATTCCCGTTGATGGTTGCCTTGATATCCAGGGACCACTTGTCGCATGCAGGATTGACGTTGAACTGCAGGCAAGGGAATGGCGATCAGGCATCACGAATCGATTTGTTCGGGTTATCAAATGTTATCGTGAAGAGAGGAGAAGGAAGTAAACCCACATCGTACCCCGATCTGTATGACGAGTTTGCTTTGAATCTCATCCCGCTCCTCTTTCATCCTGACTCACCTCGATCTTGTAGAGTCCCGCCCGAGCGCAGGCCTCGGTGCTGCTGCTAGTGTCCACAAGAAGCGTGAAGCAGTATTTGCCATTGCCATAGTCCTTAGGTGGCGATAAGGAATACGGGAAACCGGAAGGGGGGCAATTGCAGAATGGGAAGACCTTGTACTTCATCGACACTAAATCCTGCGCGTTGGCGGCCCTGCGAAGCAACAAAGCAAGTGACAGATGTCATTCCCCATGTTATCCTTGTATAATTTTCAGATAGAGACATTTAAGGCAATTGATAGAGCGATACAGCTAACAGTAGCGAAGCTTCAATGATCAGCTGCATAGCCATCAGTCAGTAGTAAGCACCTCCACACATGGAGAGCAAACAGGTTTATACTGTTTAGATGTTGGCCTGCTTTATGACCTTAAAGCGCCACACAAATGTCGCATGTCCTCACAGACGATTAGTAGGCTCACTACTCACGCGAATGCGGCCGCCACGAGAACAAGTCCATGCAGAACTGAAATCATCCTCTTAATCAGTTAGCCAGATTCTCGCGATTATATATAAGTCCGTATGCAGCGAATCCATTGGCCGACGATACGGCAATCATTTCGGACGGCGCGATCTTTGTCGTAAACAATGCTGGTGCATCCTCAATTTATAGAGCCAATTATTTTTTAATTTTATTTGCTTTTAATTCTCATTGACACGCTCGGTTATGTTCACAACCCTACCTGCACCCGTTAAGTCATGTACATGTATGACGGACATGCAGCTACCTACCTCACTGAAACCCTTATACTTATATTGTTTTTATTGCAAAAGAAACGAAAATAACAATTATTTGCAGTCCATTCGGTAAGGTGTCTTTGAGGTTTTGTCGGCCTACGAGTTCGCAAATACGTTTGGTTTTGAATTGAATTGTCAACGAAAGCTCCGAGCTACCGTCTTGGGATTACATGGACAGTTGCTCGCCATGTACACGAAGCCTCTATTTATAAATTTCGCATTGCCCTTTCGACCCGGCACTACTAGTACCGCTCGATGTATGAGCATTCGGTGATGAGCTCCGACCGCGGCAACTGTGGCCATGGGTGCCTAGGGAACGGGAGCCAAGGAAGATTTACGTGAGCATTACTGTAATTAAGTAATGCTTTAGTGCGTAGGAACCATTCTGATTCATTCATATCGACATGACAGCGGTATTTGTGGTTGAACTTCATGTCAGCCAGCTGAATCACGGTATTCAAGAGCTTCCGTGCCCAGCCGAGCCGTGGAGGGTCCTGAGTGATCCGGCTATGGAGTGCCGGCTCTGGTAGTCGGTGACTATTAGGGGCCCCCGTGATTGTCAAGCTGTCCTATCACCACAGCCTTTAACATGGCGCCCCCTTTTTTTTAGGTTGTTCTTGGGTTGTTCCCTTAGGAGTGCAAGGCAGGGGCATGCCTCCCGTTGCTGGGTGCTCTCCGAGAGCAATGGTACAACCGGGGTTTGCCTGCTGCGGGTACCTTGCAGAAGCATTATTAGCTATTACGGTGTTATAGGTTATGTGGTCAGCATAGTAGATCTATTAGGATCCCCTACATCAGTTGTCATGCATGCATGCATTCACGGTGACCGCGTTTGTGATGGATGCGCAACTTTTTATTCTGCGATTATAACTATTTCATAAAATTTTCCTGCTTGTCATCATGGCGGGTTCTGGGCTAGGATAAATACGCTTTGCACAGGTTCAGATGCAGTACCTGCGCTGAAGCGGCCAGCTTGGGGACTCGGCGGCTTTTTTATTGTTTGTGGCTTTTAAGTCAGCCTGACGTTTCACCCTTTATAGCCCGCAGGGCGACAATTAGCTCCTTCACGCATATAATTTTATCCATAGCTCCATCCACAAGCGGACGACACAACACCGCCGGACCTCTTACAGCCTCTTTTCTTAAAATAACTAGCCTTCATGGCAGCTCGCACATTGAAGTGCGATTTCGCCATCGATTACCTTTTCAGGAGTTACATATTAAAGACTACATCGTAGCCATTTATTGTGCGGCTACATCAAGTACATTACCTTTTATGATTTGATTTGGAGGCTCCGCATAAAAACCACAGTATAATATAAAGATTTTCGGAAAAGCATGCAAAGATTTGTACCACACAGCTTCATGTTCCCGTACTTCTCTAGCTTCTCAGCACTTCGCCTCCGTAATCCTCCATTGAGATAGCTCAGCCTAAATTTGGTATCCCTTATTAGCGCGCTACAGTAAAACTTTGTGAATTCTGCGATACAACTGGTGGGTTTGTTAGTTTGCGCCACTTCGCGCTCAATCCGCATCGATTGCATCGATTGCACGACATTCGACTGGACTCTACTTGCTGCTGTATACAAGCGACTGAATTTGAAAATTTTAACAGCATGTAAAACTGGTCCCCTGCTTCGTAACCTTACATGAAGAGATTTTCTGCTGCTATGCTGCGGATTACCTGTCCCATCCGGCGGGAACTTACACACACCATTCGTCGTTTAGCCTTTTGGTTGCTATCTTTGCCTTCTTGTTCCTATCTTCCATTTGTAGTTTTAGCCTGTGGTTTAGCCTTTGTACTAAGGACACCTTCGTCGGGAATACCAACGTTGGTACGTAGCGGTAAAAAATAAACCGTCAACGGTCTGTCGTTCTCTTCCGCGGCTTGCGAACGCCTCCAAGCGCCTCTGGATCGCGCTCACCAAAATATAGCTTAGTTACTAAGATAACTTCTACAGCATGGCGTCTCTTTCTTGGGCATTGCAAGAGCTTAGGCTTTGGGCCCAAGCACCTGATGTTGGCCCACAGGGAGTACGCCGCCGCATGGAAACCTGAACTCTGACTTATAAGTGCTGGGACGCAAGTGGAGCCTGCATGGATACCCCTATCTGTATTTACCTTCCCTCTGTGCTCTAACCTAGGTGGGAGACATGATGCTCTTCAAATCCTCTTCGCAAATGCTCCACCAGGCCCCCGACCTAAAGTGTTTTTACCTGCTCGCCTAGAACCTGGCGTCGACTTACACCCCGCGCCCTAGTTTACACCTGAGAACAGTTGAACTGCTATTATTTAATATACTCGCCTCTGACCGTGCAAGCGCCAGACCGGCTACATGAGTCTGCCTCATCATGACCACTGCTGCGCGCTTGCATGTGCCCATGCAATTAAATTATCGAAGAGGTCCATCGTTTCATCTGTCACCCGAGAGTCCAGTGAGCTGTAAGCTGAGCGAAACCATTTCCCTCTTCGCCGGCCAATCTAGAGTTCTGTTGGAGTAATAACCACTCGCCCCACTGTCATGACCGCCATGCATGCTCTGTGGTGAGGCTATCCACATGGATCACAAGGCAACGCTGGGGTTGGGAAAGGCGGGGTTCAAATAAGGATTTCAGAACGACGTATTCTCAGGAAGTACGTCTCTTTTGATTTAAACCTTCTCCGCATATTCGAACATATCCCTGTTGCTTTGACTTTTAAGCATTAAATAATACCACAGCAGTGGAGTATACGTACATTGATCTCACATTACAAGGCAACTTTCCAGCAGATAACTCCCCATATCTCCTCACATACGAGTTAACTCTCAGCCCAAATCTTACACACATCACCGTACACAACATTCTTATCCCTCCTGGAGTGACAACAGGATCGCAGCTATCGACAGAGCCATTTACCGCTCTAAATTGCCGTTGTCCACGCATGCTTGCTCCAGCATGTACGAAGAGAACGGTCTTTTAGATGCATGTATAAATACACATGTTCACCATCAGCACCGACAGCAGCCCAATCACAGAGACATGAGGGCAGCAGGCTTGTGACGTGTAACGACGTTTCCTCCTGCAAAGTGAAAAGTGCAGACTGGCCCATCATAATTAACGATTAGCCACCTCGAGCCAAGAGTCGAGCCCCGAAACCCATAGAGAAACATATAAACCCGAAACGAGCCCAAGAGCAACGAAGACGGAAAATGTACGAAGAACATCGAGAAATAGTAATGATAAAGATATGAAGGCTCCGAGGTGCACCAGATGCAGTTGTTAAGTTTGCAGAAGAAGACAAAAAACCTTCGCGAGTCTGTGCAGGACTGTGACGATGTTATCAAAGCCGCTCTAATCCACAAGGGGTTCATAGAGGTAGGAGATGCCTCACGTAGGATGACTCGAAGATCTCAGATCGAAGCCGCCAAGAATAAAGGACAGCACTTGTTATCCGGGCTGAAAAGGCTCATCCTGCAATTGGTGCGGGGATGCAAGAAGCAGCAGAAACAGCGCAGAGGCGGAATGAGAAACGTACAAAAGACAGTCATGAAAAGGAATGCCCGTCTCATCTCACGGCATGCTTAGGCAGTTATGGAAAGCGCAACGATTTTCCTTCTGGCTTGCTCACCCATGGCTGCCACCTGGCACTCAGGGCGAGAATGCGCTTTGGCAATCTGTACTGCTGATAAAATATCAAAAACGAAAAAGACAATGGCTTCCAAAGAAAGCGACTCACCAGCAAACCTTGCGGCTGCTGTTCGTGAGGCAGAAGCTGCTCAAGTCAACGTTCTGATTAAACTCGAGGCAGACCTTGCCACCATCTGCCTGAGCCTTGGACCACCTCAGCGGGGTGACCTTGAACGTCTGCTCGCCCACTGCAGCCCAGCTAGGGGCAATGTAGCGAAATGTGTCGGCGTCGGAGGGGCGGACATAGACGCCTAGAACGCTGCGGCGCATTGTTTCATTCGCCCAGAACTCAATCTTCGCCAACGTGTCCGAGCTGCCGCAACGGCTCTGCATCATGTACATATGAGGGTGGTGTCGGACTTTCAGAAGACACAAGAGCACTTGTTTGCCGCATGTACATAAACACCAGCAGGACACGTCAAGTAATTCAGCCAAGAGAAACAGGTCATAAACGTTACCGACTATACCACATTTGCACCACAAGGAAATCGACTCACGTTCGGATCATTTGGCTGCACAACAGCGGTACGGAAACAGTACTGCACCCTGTCCTTCTTAGTTCCTGGGACAGTCTCCGTGTACGGCAGAAGTGCGAAAGGAGTAGCGCCGACTGTGGTTGTGCAGCTGCGGTATTGATAACAGTGAAAGTGGAGAGGCGGATGGGACAGTCAAATAGGTCCAAAAGGGGGGAAGGTCCAACACATTTGCAGGTTGGCCTAGTCCGTTGGCACACACAGCTCAAATGCCCTCTGCTCGGTTTGCCTTTACGACGCTTCGCAAACCGGGTACAGAACTGATACGACAGAGGCACACAGACAGACAGACAGACAGACAGACATACGAGTACATTTACGCACTTGTCTTACTTGCAAGGAGGGAACCTGATGGGAAGTGGTTTGCAATTCCTCGAGGCTTCAGCATTCAGGCATTTGCTCGCTGGAGCATCTGGCCATGTGCCGTCACCGCGGATCGATACCACGACATTGAAGGGGCTGAACTCTGAGGGGCAGCCGATACTATCCAGGAGGAATCCGGCCCAAGTATCAGCCATAGTCAGGGCGTACGGCTCAAGCTTTTCAGCATCCGCATTGGAGGCGAAGGTGAGGCACACCTTGACAAGGCTGCCCTCGCAATACGGTTCCGGGTTAAGTGGCGACAGCAACCTGGCACCCACACCTTCCGCTTGTGCAATAAATTCGTCGACAACCTTATTGGCTAAGGCACGACACTGATCGACAGGAATGTTAAGGCTGAAAACTGAATTCAGAGGTTGAATGTAGAGATAGGTGCAGACCACGCAGGGCGGCACAGGCGAAGGGGAGGGTGTAGGAGGCAAAGGCGACGGTGGGGTGGGCGGAGATGGAGGCAAGGGAGAGGGTGGGGTGGGCGGGGACGGAGGCTTGGGCGATGGCGGCGCGGGCGGGGATGGCGGCTTGGGCGAGGGTGGGGTAGGCGGGGATGGA